TTCGAAAGATACATCGAGGAAAAAAGCTCCTCGATGTATCTTTCGAATGTGTTTTACTTTTAGTGAACTCGCTTTTTTTTTTTTTTTTTTGACAGAGTGTTGCAGCGACCTTAGGGTCTATTGGGTTAACACGCTGGGGCGACCATTTAGTATGGAACTATTACTACTAGATAATTAAGTAGGATTTTGGTATTCATATGAGTCTGTAGGTAATTGGATATTTAATTTAGGTTTTTGTCTGATGTATCTCTGACTTTTATAAACCCCTAGTGCACTTACACTGACAGTGTGCTGCAGTTATTTTGGGGTTGATTGCCTAAACATGTTGGGGCAAACACATAATACGGAGGTACTGTGAGACTGATTTATTCAGCCTTTTTCACTTTGTAATAATTTCCATTTTCATGGTCTCCCCCAATATACTGTTTTTCCGATATAAGTTTTTCATATCTGCACTCTCTGTTTTTCTGCAAGGCTTAGTATGTATCTAAAGTATCACTTGTAGCACTAACTATGTTTTAGTGTATATTGCTACATATAATTGTGACTGATACATGTTATTTTCACTGTAGCCTTGCATCCAAATTGACAGGATTTTTGTCATATACATGAGTTCCTAGGTGATTTTAATTTATTATTCTTAATAAAATCTATTTATTATTTTTCTTAGACGTTGTCCTTGGGGTGACTTGAAGGAGAGCAGCCCGGTTTGTTACAGGGCTGTCTTTTCCTTCACTTTTTTGTATATGTTAATGATAATGCTTTATAAAAAAAACTAAATAAAAATTATAATAAGATATGCCACCTTCTCGCCTACGAACTTCGGATATCTTAAAGAACATAGAGTACCATTAGGATTTAAGTCTTGCATTTTATATTTCTTTCCTTGTGTTTTATTTGTTTGTGTTGTCCTACCCAGGGATAATAGAGAGTTTAGGGATATATGGTAATAGGGAAAAAAAACAAAAAGAGTAAAACTAAAATAAATAAATAAATACAACAACAAAATTATGTACATTAACCCCCAATATGGGGATAAGGTGCTTTCACTTTGCATTGTGGGGGATTGAAGACGTAGTCTTCTAAAAGTGGCTGCTCTGGGTCTTATGTTTAAATAAACTCCCTATAATCCCAAATCAAGCATTAATAAATAGCTATAATATGAAAATTAATGCTATTCTAGAACAAAAGTTTGCCAGAATGTAAAAGAAAGAAAAGATTATTTTTGAACAATAATTTTACACATTATATGAAATCAATATAATTGACCTATTTAAATTTTAGTCTTATTACATTATAGATATTCTACTCTAATCATAAGCGTAACATTATGATAATGTTTATTTGTTGTTCATTGTTTCATTTCTAATAGAATTCTAGTAAGGCTTGTTTTACCTTTTACGATCTGTCAACATTTTTCCATGAAAAATTATTTCCCATGAAATTAATACTTATTAGGAAATACTATCAATACATATATACTTATTAATATATATATAATTGTTACTACTTATTCCTAATAATTCCATACACTTCAATTAAATGAAAAGGGTAATTTAATCAGTATTTTAAAAAAAATTGTAATAAGAACTTGCACTATTGTCACACTAAAATATTGTTATAATGTGTATATTGATTAAACTGAACATTCTTTCTTTTCCTTTTTCCCTCCTTTTTATTTTTTCCATATATATATATATATATATAAATATATATATATATATATATATATATACAGTTGCAAGAAAAAGTATGTGAACCCTTTGGAATGATATCGATTTCTGCACAAATTAGTCATAAAATGTGATCTGATCATCATCTAAGTCACAACAATAGACAATCACAGTCTGCTTAAACTAATAACACACAAAGAATGAAATGTTGCCATGTTTTTATTGAACACACCACGTAAACATTCACAGTGCAGGTGGAAAAACTATGTGAACCCCTAGACTAATGACATCTCCAAGAGCTAATTGGAGTGAGATGTCAGCCAACTGGAGTCCAATCAATGAGATGAGATTGTGAATGTTTACATGGTGTGTTCAATAAAAACATGGCAACATTTTATTCTATGTGTGTTTTTAGTTTAAGCAGACTGTGATTGTCTATTGTTGTGACTTAGATGATGATCAGATCACATTTTATGACAAATTTGTGCAGAAATCCATATCATTCCAAAGGGTTCACATACTTTTTCTTGCAACTGTGTGTATATATATGTGTATATATATATATATATATATATATATATATATATATATATAATTCTTTATATATAAACTTTTTATTCTCTCCCTTTTCTCTTGCTCTCTCTTTTTCTAATTTAGCTAAATGTGAAAACCTTGTGTGACAAAAGGTTATATTCATGGGATCTGAGCGCTATTTGGACAGATCCAGGCTACCGTTCATATAGTCTAGGCTCATGTTTTGGGACTTGGGAGCTATAATCACTACTACACTTGGGACTTGGGAGATTCTGCACGGATATACTCAGCTGGAGTATAGGGGATCCGTTATACCTTGCATATGATATAACAGTAAGTTAAATAAAAAAAATAAAATAAAAAGTTCACATTAATTCTTAAAACTTCCAAAGAGATAAAAATATAATATACCTTACAGATGCCATACAGATATCTTGTTACATATTCTAAGGCAGTTAAGGTAAAGAAAAAGAAAAAAGGAAGAACATTTAGTCTACCTTTATCTATGTTCAAGTTCTGTTGACACCTCTATCATAAAGTATTATAAGGTATCATAGGGCATCACGAGATAGATGCAAAATAGATACAAATTTCAAGTTATCATCAGGTACCATAAAAGTATAATTAAATTGATACAAAATAGTAATCATACATTACTAATGCTATTTTCAGCTTAGTATGTGAAATTGCTAGGGGTACTTGCGTTTTCAGAGAAATAAAATAAAACAAAATAAAAAATAGAAATTATATCATCTCTGCTAGATTGAGCTTATAGTGTTACTTGCTGTTACTTGTCGGAGACCAGACCAAAGTCAACTTTTTTGCATTAAAGGTTGCTTTAGAGGTTTTTTCTTTTGAAAATTGGAAGTTTAGGCTGCATGCCCCAGGAGCAAAGAGTATTGAATCCATCCTCAGGCGAGGTAATCAAGGTTGTGCCTACTTGTCTCACAATCAGTAATTTTGTGGGATATCCCCACCAATATCTAATATTATTCACCCAAAGGGTAGATGTGATATAACTAAATGTTTACCTCTTCTGTAATGTAGCTGTAGACAAGTTGGCAAATATCTTCACTCCCATATAATCTTTGTATGTGAGCAACTTGTATCGGCTATTTTTCAACACCAACTCCTTAATATGATGATAATGTGCTCTTAAAAGCACATCTCTCGTACTGATTCCGGGATGTATCTCAGACGTACCAGACAATGGACCTGATCCAGGAGTAACATATCTGCTGGGGCTTCAGGTATCAGTGTTTTAAAGAGATCTCTAACATATGGTGATAACTCTGCTTGAGTCACGGTTTCAGGGATTCCTTTCAACCTTAAATTATTCCGTCTCGCTCTGTCTTCAGCATCCATTATTTTTATCTCCATATCAGTAATCTGTTGTGAAAAACTCTGCATGTGGTCTGTCAGATCGTTATGTGCAGTAACAAGCCCTGTCATTTTTAATTCGGTATTCAATGTCATGTTACCTAGCTCGTGGAGATCCTTTCTTAAGGCTTCAACACTTGCTTGCCAGGAATTTATTATCTTAGTAAAGAGAGCATCCAAAGCCTCTTGTAGGTATTGTTTAGTAAGACCTCATTTGGGGCTTTGTTCCTCTTGATCTAAAGTGGAGTTGCTATGCTCAGAGTAACCCCCTCCCTCAGGCATTATGGTCTTGTTAACCAGAGACTCCGGACCTATTTTAGGAGCGAAGAACTTCAACTTGTCCATTTACATAAGAACTTTCTTCTTGCCTAGAGACATTATTGTTAGGGAAAGGTGACTCACAGGTGACTCACAAGCAAAAACCACAAAAACGCTTGCCGCTTTCTCTGTACTTTTTTAGATTTCAGAGAACACAAACACCAGGGCTAAGATTCAGGCGTCCATCTTACACGGCTGCACTGTGAGGATATTTTTGGGGTGATAAATATTAAAAATATTTTCATCAAAATTATAAAAATTATCAAAAATTATCAAAAATTAATTTAATCATTTTTATTATATCAAAATTTATATCTTGGCACTGTTTCCCCGATTATATTAGTTGTGTTAGTTTGAAAAAATACAAAGAATTAGGTGTGTCCAGCTTTGGCTCCAGATGTCAGATCTTAGATGTTAGGTGTGTCTCGAGAGTGTGAGTAAGTCTGAGTGTTTGAGAGTCTGAGAGTTCCCTCTCTCTCCTTTGTCCTTAATTTTTAAAAGAGAAGTTCTCTATACGTCACCAGTTGATAGGACCAATAGAGAACCGTGGGCGTGTCTTCCCTACAGACTATCATCTAGATTTTGGTCAACAGATGGTGCAATTACATCACAGAAAATTCTTGTCAGGGGATCCATTTACTTTTTTGTATAATGGGTTAACTGAATTTCGTAATGCATTTGACGTCATCTTGGTTATCTTTTATGATACCTATTCATCAAAGACATGTCAATATTCAAAGGTTTTGGTTCACTTTTACCCAGACTTGTGTTTGCATTTTCGCCATTATTTTAGATTTCTGACATGTCCTAAACTCTTCTTCACCTCTCTATTCAATACAACTTTGTAAGATTCCATTAGTTTGTTGTTTTTTTTAAAGTAAAATGAATTACTTAGTTTTACTTAGTTTTATCTTTCATTGGTAATCCTGTGTGTAGCACATAGTAATATTATTTGTACATGTCTATTACACATATTTACATTAGTAAATAATATGACATTTCTTCATTGATATTATATCCATAAATATTCTATATTATTAACTATTTATATATAATTAATATAATATAGTAAGTTATATGTGGATATTGTGTGTGTGTGTGTGTGTGTGTATATGTGTGTATATATATATATATATATATATATATATATATATTTGTCTCTGGGTTGTTGTATTCAACCCCCCTTCTGTAGACATTATGTCTTATCTCATGTGTTATCTCTAATGTTTACATTAGTCACATTCCATAGCTCAGGCTTGAATGGAGTTACAGAGAAGTAAAAATGTGTCTGTCTTTGCATTCTGATACAACATGAAGTCACCTCTGTTCTGATGGTGACTTACAAAATACATTTTTAATTTCTGTCTTAACACAAAATATCTGCCAGTATAAATATAGTGACAGCACGCCACACCCTGCCTTGTTTTTACCAAATTGATACCTAAATAGGAAATGTAATAGTCTCTCCTTAAAAGTCAAACTGTTTTTTTTTTTTTTTTTTTAATATTCAATTCAAACCATGGTATAAAAAAAGGGAGTGCTTGCATTTTTTTGGTATTTAATTTGTAATAGGAAATTTCACCGAATTCTTGCAAGATAGACATTGAGGACAAAGGGTTTTTTAGTGATAACATAATGTCATCTGCAAATAGACCAATTTTATGAATTTTGTCTCCAATCCCCTCTATCTCTAAACAGTTTCTAATCCTTTCAGCCAAAGGCTCAACTGCCAAGACAAATAATAGTGACAATGGACCCCTGTCTGGTCCCATTAGACAGTTCAACACAGCCCTGATGATGGAACATTAAATCGCGACATAACTTCTCTCAAAAATCCCCAATGTATCCTATCAAACGCCTTCTCCGCATCTAAAGATAAAAGCACAGAAGATGTGCGATTTAGTTTCATCTGATGTATTAATTTAAATGCCTTGTACTATCTGGATGTAACGAGCGCTTACCTTTCCCCGCCGGTCCCACGCAGCGCGGGGTCCTCCTTCAATACTTCCGGGGGGCAGCTCAGGTCTTCTGACGCTGGCCGCTCGGAACACACCCACCTTTATGAAGCGACGCATGCGCGCCGGCGTCAGAGGGAAAATGCCGCCAAAATTCAAACGTGGCCATGCTCCCGGACGTTTTGGGGGTGTGGTTTCAAAATTAAAGTCAAAGAACCCACACTATAAAAGGGCTATCATGACACTTGTCAGATGCCCTAGTGTGGTTCTTGTTTAAAGTCCCCTAGTGCTATTATCTCTGCTTGTCCTTCTTGGTATTTGACCCTTGGCTATCTCTCTGACTATTCTGTTTTCTGGTTTCCCGTTACTTGGCTTGGATAATCGTGTGCCCGTCTTCCGTATTCCCTTGACCTCTGGCTATTCCTTTAACTATTCTCAGACGCTAGTCCACCCATTCTAAGGTCCGGTAACCGTCTTTCTGTGGGTTTCACGCTGTGTGAAGGGGTCACTGTTGTGACATTGGTCACTGTCGTGACACTGGGGCCTGACAAATTAAAACAAAACCCACCTGATCATAGTCAATTAGTAACTCCTGCTATCTTATAGCTCCAAAAAGATTTTTCAACTGATGGTCTAATTCTCCTTATAATGTCAGCATGGGGCCTTGCTCTGTCCAATCACAGACTTTGGACTATTTTGCCAGTTCAGAGTGCATGCATTCAACCTGACCCTGTTAAAGGATATAGTAGGGGTGGACAAGAGAGATTAAAAAAAAAAAAAAGAAAAAGATTTTAGGGGCGGGCCTAGCTTCCAGGCTGAATGGACATGCCAAGAATCAGTTGACACATGCTACATAATTAGGGGGACAACCCCAGAAAATCGGCTCGTACACCAAGACGGGGGACACCCGACTGACACCAAGCTTGCACCCAACATGGACCGGGAACCCGCAAAAACAGCATGGGATCTAACTGTGATAGAGCCGGGGAGAGGCGGCCGCTCTCCTCACTGGCAACTCCGCACACTGACCCCTCTGCTTACTCACCTCCTCCCCCCACCTATGGACTGGTGGGGAATATCCTGGTCCTCACTGGGTGTCTGGAGAGGCCAGCTCAAATCGACCTATACTGCAAAAACACAGCGGTGCGGCCCTCCACCCGGCGCACCTAAGATGGCGGCTGACAACATGACACTCAAGCAGAGTCTGCTCCTACACCACATGCTGCACCAAGATGCCATGAGGCGTCTGGATGACATCTTTAACCACTTTTGGGAACGACTATGGGAGAGGCAACATACACACACGCACAGCACCCAGACACACACTGTAGCAGAACCCCTTTGGCTGTCCAAACTATCCTCCTTTTATGGTTGGCACTTAAGAGTTTTCCCTGTA